AAACAATATGCTAAAACATCAGTAAAACATATTAGGAACATGTTAATGCACATATAAAACTGCTTAAACATGTTAACACCTTGCTAAAACATGTTAGAATGCGTTTGCAAACTTAACTTACTTGCTGAACATTATAGATATGTTAGCTGCATGCTAGCATCTTCACAAAACATGCTAAAACACTGGTAAAACATATTATGGCAAACAAATTGCTTAGAAATTATACACATCTTAGCAACATATAATACATGCTAGCATTGTCACACAATATGCTTAACATCTGTAAAATGTGTGAGGAACATGTTGAAGCTAATTGCTTAAACATGCCAAAACATGTTAGAATGTTTGTTTAAACATTTTAACCCATCACTGACATTATAAATGTGCTAGCATCTTCATTAGAACATGCTAAAACACTGGTAAAACATGTTACATCCTTAAACATGGTAACACATTTTTAAGAACATGTTAAAACATGCTAACAACTTTCTTCATTCATTCATTTTCTTGTCGGCTTAGTCCCTTTATTAATCCAGGGTCGCCACAGCGGAATGAACCGCCAACTTATCCAGCACATTTTTTACGCAGCGGATGCCCTTCCAGCCACAACCCATCTCTGGGATGCTAACAACCTTTTGAACAATATTAACAACATGCTAAAAGCTGCTTTTCCTCTTAAAGCAAGCAAAACGTGTTGGGAACATATTACAACATGCTACCAGATTGCTAAAACATGCTAACACAATGCCAAAGCATGCTAAATCATTCTAAATACATGATGAAATGTGCATTTAACAGGTTAAAACATTTTAGCAACCTGCTAAAACATGATAGCAACAAGCTGAAACATGAATATGTTAAAAGACGTTTTTGATATATTTTTCTGTTGAAAACAAGAAGTATTACTCGAGATTTTGCTTCTAAAATAAATGTAGCTCAATTGAAGACATTTGTATTTACGTAAAACATGACAACAATACTAAAGTAAGAAATTCAAAGCATTGCCATCTCATTTGAAACAGTCACTGTTTGATATGGTTATGTATTTATGCTAAAGCTGAGCAAACAGAACATCCAGAGCTAAAATTAGACTTTTAATTTGGGTTCGAGAGAATTTAATGAGAGCGAGCGCAGTCAGAATAACAGCCGTAAGTCTGCGACGGAGAAAACTACTGTCAGCTATACGCAGGCCTTTCTCTCCGGCCCAAAGCTGATTAAAACTTCCACAAGTGAACAGCAAAGTCACATTAAACCTTCGCTTAAATCTCACTGGAGTTACGAAAAAACAGCCTGACACAGAGTTAAAATCTGGCCAAAGCTCTTAGTGTACACTTTAATGCACTTCTGTGAGGCTTTCCATCTGCTGATGAACCAAAAACACATGATAACTCCTCGTGGGTCATTAGTGGGGTCTCAAAATCTGAAATATAATCCTCAGAGCTCAATCCAACACTTCTGACACACACCAGAGCAGGAGTACACCACGTCCGAAAACTATCATCTAAATGAACACAAACAGATTGCAAACAAACTGAAAACACTGAGATTGATGTTAAATGATAACCGGGTTGGAGACAAACTGTACAAGATTCATTGTATCCTTTTCCAGATGAAAATTCTCCTTTAAAACATTTACAGTATGTCTTTATCAAATCAACCAGCTTTAGGAGAATCAATATTTGACAAAAATGTTTAATAAAGACATTAACAGTGCTATTTCAGCATCAATGAAATGTGCACAAACATTCATATTTATAATTTTGACTGGACTATGACTGCACTTCCAGTATTCCTAAAAACATTTGACATAGTTAACGTATATACTACACTAGCAGAATGCTAACACATATAAGCAATTTGCTGAAACATGCTAGTTAAGTACAAGAACATACTGAAAATGAACAAAAACAGGATAAAAACATGCTTGTGTATATCAAAAACATTTTAAAACCTACTTTCAACATTTTAAAACTAGAAACATGCTAGCAACTCTATGCTCTGCTAACAATGTCTTGAAATATGGCACCAAGATACTAAAACATGTTACAAACATGCTAAAACATGCTAGCAAAATCATGCTGCAAAAATGTTGGCAAAACACTAGTAAAATGCTATTCATAAACTTGCGTGGTATAAACAACCTGCTAAAAGATGCTAACTTGCTAAAATGTAAAATGCCAAAACACGTTAATAAAGTATCTAAATCTAAAACTTTCGACTATCGAAAATATTTAAAAAAAAACATATTAAACATATTAAACCTACTATCAACATGTTAAAACTAGAAACATGCAAACATGATAAAATGAACATGTTTACCATTAGCATGTTAGTACCTTAATGTTCCTGACAAGATGATATGAACATAATAAGCATGCTCTGCTAACAATGTCTTGAAACATGGCACTAACATACTTAAATACTAATAACGATGGGAAAACATGCTAGCAAAATCATGCTACAAAAATGTCAGCAAAACACTATTAAACATGCTAAATTGATAAAATTGCTAAAACATGGTATAAACTACAACCTGCTTAAAGATGCTATTAACTTGCTATAATTTAAATGCTAAAACATGTTTATAAAGTATCTAGACCTAAAACTTTATGTTTCTGACAGGACATGCTATCAACGTAATTAGCATGCTTTGCTAACAATGTCCTGAAACAAGTCACCAACATATTAAAACATGTAATAAACATGCTAGCAAAATCGTGCTGCAAAAATGTTAACAGCTCGTTAAACGGGTTATATTCATAAACTTGCTAAAACGTGGTATGAACAACAACCGGCTAAAAGATGCTAATAACTTACTAAAATGTTACATGCTAAAACACATTTATAAAGTATTTAAATCTAAACATGAACATATTATAACCTACTATCAACATGTTAAAGCTAAAACATGCTAGCAACATGATAGCTTGAACATGTTAAACATTAGCATGTTAGCACCTTTATGTTCCTGACTAGACATGGTATGAACATAATAAGCATGCTATACTAACAAGCTCTTGAAATATGGCACCAAGACTAAAATATTTTATAAACATGGTAAAACATGCTAGCAAAATCATGCTACAAAATGTTAGCAAAACACTAGTAAAATGCTATTCATGAACTTGCGTGGTATAAACAACAACCTGCTAAAAGATGCTAATAACTTGCTAAAGTGGTAAATGCTAAAACACGTTTATAAAAGTATCTAAATCTAAAACTTGCGACTATTGAAAATATTTTAGAAACAAGTGGTGAACATATTAAAACCTACTATCAACATGTTAAAACTAGAAACATGCTAGCAACATAATAACATGAACATGTTAACCATTAGCATGTAAGCAACTTAATGTTCCTGACAAGATGATGTGAGCATAATAAGCATGCTCTGCTAAAAATGTCCTGAAACATGGCACCAACATACTAAAATACTTTAAAAACATGGTAAAAATGCTAGCAAAATCATGCTACAAAAATGTCAGCAAAACACTAGTAAACATGCTATATTGATAAAATTGCTAAAACATGGTATAAACAACAACCTGCTTAAAGATGCTTTTAACTTGCTAAATTTTAAATGCTAAAACATGTTTAGAAAGTATCTAGACCTAAAACTATATGTTTCCGACAGGACATGCTATCAACATAATTAGCATGCTCTGCTTACAATGTTCTGAAACAAGATACCAACATATTAAAACATGTTATAAACATGCTAGCAAAAACATGCTTCAAAAATGTTAACAGCTCGTTAAACGGGTTATATTCATAAACTTGCTAAAACGTGGTATAAACAACAAACCTACTAAAAGATGCTAATAACTTGCTAAAGTGTTAAATGTTAAAACACGTTTATAAAAGTATTCAAATCTAAAACTTGTGACTATCGAAAAAAATTTCGAAACAAGTGGTGAACATATTAAAACCTACTAATAACATGCTAAAACTAGAAACATGCTAGCAACATAATAACATGGACATGTTGACCATTAGCATGTTAGTACCTTAATGTTCCTGACAAGATGATATGAGCATAATAACCATGCTTTGCTAAAAATGTCCTGAAACATGGCACCAACATACTAAAACATTTTATAAACATGGTAAAACATGCCAGAAAAATCGTGCAACAAAAATGCTAGCAAAACACTATTAAACATGCTATAGTAATTGCGTGGTATAAACAACAACCTGCTAAAAGATGCTAATAACTTGCTAAAATGTTAAATGCTAAAACATGCTTAAAAAGTACCTAAATCTAAAACTTGCAATTATCTAAAACATTTTATAAACAAGTAGTGAACACATTAAAACCTACTATCAACATGTTAAACCTAGAAGCATGCTAGCAACTTGATAACATGAACATGTTTAGCACCTCGGTATGGTAAAAACATAAGCATGCTCTGCTAATAGTGTCCTGAAACATGGCAATAACATACTAAAACATTTTATAAACATGGTGAAAAATCATAAACATGCTAGCAAAATCATGCTACAAAAATGCTAGCACTTTTTAAAATGTGAAAATCTTTCATTTTTCTCCTGATATGACCTTCAAAACTACTTAAATTCACCTTCAGCTAATGCAGGACCGGTTTTCTCTTTAAACCATGCTAACAATGAAAAATCCTTGGTAAAACATGCTATAAACATGCTAGCAATCTGTTAATATTGTATGCTAACAATGCATTAAAACATGCTCAAACAAATCGTTAGCTAACATGCTAAAAGCGTGATAAAACATGCTAGCACTTTTAAAATGTGAAAATCTTTCATTTTTCTCCTTATATGACCTTCAAAAACTTCCGACTAGCTTTTAAAATTACTTGACTTCACCATCAGCTAATGCACACTAGCAGGACAAAACTTTAGAGCTTGTGTTGATAGATATTTTAGGAAGCTCAATGGCTGGGCAATAAAGGTTTACCGATTATGGTCAAACTTAAATTTACACAGTTTTTACCGCAAGTAGAAAATATAAGTGTTTCTCTCACCAGGCTCAGTGCAGTTCTTCTCCTCTGTGGTGTTTTCGGGTGTCGATGACATCAGTCTCCGCCCCCACTGGTCATGTGACTCCATGTGCCACTCCTCCATGATCATACCATGACCTGCAATAACAAAACACCGATAAACAAACAATAAAACAAAGAAAGTCACGTGGCTTTGGAGCATCAGATATGATCACAGTCTACTTTTGGGTTAAAATGTATCTTTAAATAAGTCATTAATACCATGACTCACAAAGATAAGTCATTTTGGGGAGGAAAAAATGTATATAACCACAATATGTTTGATAGTTTGATAATGACATAAAAACCGATTAACCTAGTAATTTATTTACCTCAATTTTGTCAGACAATCTTTATATAAGATGCTGTAATAATATAGTTACAATTTTACATACATATATGTACAGTGGGTACAGAAAGTATTCACCCCCCCCCCCTTAAATGTTTTACTATTTGTCACACTGGAATGTACACACGGCACCCCATATTGACGGGAACACACACACACACACAAACACATATATATGTGTATATATATATATATATATATATATATATATATATATATATATATATATATATATATATATATACGTATATATACTTGCTGGCCGCTTTATTAGGTACACTTTACTTGTACCAGGTTGAACCCCCTTTTGCCTTCCAACATGCCTTAAACCTTCATGGCATAAATTCAACAAGATACTGGAAATATTTCTCAGAGATTTTGGTCCATATTGACATGATAGCATCACGCAGTTGCTGCAGATTTGTCGGCTGCACATCCATGATGCGAATCTCCCATTCACATCCCAAAAGTTCTCTATTGGATTGAGTTCTGGTGACTGTGGAGGCCATTTGAGTACGGTGAACCCATTGTCATGTTCAAGAAACCAGTGTGAGATGATTCGTGCTTTATGACATGGAGTTATCTTGCTGAAAGTATTAATCAGAAGATGGGTACCTTGTGGTGGTCAGGGGCGGACTGGCCTTAGCGGGCACCGGGACATTTCCCGGGGGCCTGATGGTCTATCTGACCTGCCACCGTGACTCTGGCCTGCCGTCTTCCCCCCACCCAAATTTTCATAAACATTTCGCTTCTCCACACCAGCTGTGAGAGCTGTCATGGATAAAAGTGAGGATGGGGGAGGGGGAGGGGGAGGTCGCGAATGCCGCTTTCTTTTTTCTGCCGCCCTAGGCAGCCGCCTATGTCGCCTCTATGGACACGCCGGCCATAGACACGCCTCTATGGACACGCCTACTCAGGTAGGCTGTGGTGTTGACACAATGCTCAATTGGTACTAATGAGCCCATAGTGTGCCAAGAAAATATCCCCCACACCATTACACCACCATTACCAGCCTGAACCTTTTAGATTACCTTTTAACGCTAATCTCTGAATAAATACTTACAGATCGCAGGCAAGCTATATATCAGTTTAATCTTTATTTCTCTTTCTTTCAACCCCAAGCACAACAGAGACCTTCCTACTTTATGTTTCTGAGTAAATTCAGTAAGTTTGCTTCGTCCACCTAATGCGCTTGAAAATAGACTGTGGGCAAGCTTAAGGTACATCGCCTGGGAGGAAAGATATTTAAAGCAATGACAATAAGCATTTGCATTTAATTTATGCATCACACAGTATTACTGTCTTTATGAAGTGAATATCATGTTATCACAATATGTTAAATAAACTATCTTTGGTTGAATAAATGCTTTGAAACGGGGATATTTAAGCGTCAGCTGTGAGTGATTACCGCATGGCGCTATTCTCCGCCAGAGAGATCCTCTTTGTGCAGTGATGATGTTTATGTTCATGAAAGATCAGTCAAGTTAGCATTAATTTGCATGAATTTAATGTTTTAATATTTTAAATTGTCATGCTGTAATAAAATAAACATGATATAAAAACTAAATGATTGTGAAGTTATTTCTTTTCAAACTTTTATAAAAGAGCTATTATAGCCGGCAGCTAGCTCTCTGCAACTGTCACATGGTCGCCCACTGAAGCTAAGCAGGGCTGCGCCCGGTGAGTACCTGGATGGGAGACCGCATGGGAAAGCTAACCTGCAGAGGGCGCTCAACCTGTGGTCTGTGTGGGTCCTAATGCCCCAGTATAGTAAAGGGGACTCTATACTGCTCAGTGAGCGCTGTCTTTTGGATGAGACATTAAACTGAGGTCCTGACTCCCTGTGGTCATTAAAAAACCAAGGATATCCTTCAAAAAGAGTAGGGGTTTTACTCTGGCATCCTGGCTAAATCTGCCCACTGGCCTCTGTCCATCATGGCCTCCTAACCCTCCCCATATCAGAATTGGCTTCATCACTCTGTCTCCTCTACACCAATCAGCTGGTGTGTGGCGTGCGGTCTGGCTCAAAATGACGAAGGGTGGGCTATGTACACACACACTTGTTACTTTTCTTTTTATTTTATAGTGATTTTTTTCAAAACAGTTTTACATTAACAAGCAGATAAATGTTAAGTGCTAAATGTTTTAATATCCATTATTTACATTAATTATTTACAACCGACAAAGCTGGGGTCAATTCTGTTTCGATTATATAGAACAAAAATAATCTAGATTTCAGCGATATTTACAATCTACCCATCGCCTCTAACTGTTTCCAGATCAGAGACACCAGTATTTAAAACGGTTGAGTACACTGAGATGAATACACTGAGGAAAAGTAAACTTTAAGTCTATATAATTAAGATAAATGGCTTTGATGTGGAAATAATATACAATGTGGGGCAATAATAAGGGCAGAGGAGAGTGACAGTATTGCATTTCTTTTCTCCTCGAGCTACAAGAGGAAAACAGGATTTGCCTGATTAGAAAGGGAGGGCTGCGTAAATTCCCTCTGTCTTTGATCTCCTTTCCTGAACCATTATGAAGACACTGAGACACACACACACACACACACACACACACACACACACACACTTCTAAGTTATTGTCATGAACAGTCATGAGAGAAGGAGGTGATTCAGCCAGTAAGTGCCATGATTCGAGATAACAGATTTAATATTGTCTGTATTGCAGAATAATCTTTTAAGCTCCTTGTTTTTACCGTAATTGAAGTTTTGCTTTTGATTTAGAAGGCTTACTTTTAATTTTTAAGATTTGAATTAGCTATTTTCTTTGAATCTGATTGAGCTTGCATTTCACTTGCTGAAGACAAAACTGAAGGGAAAACGCCCAAAGAACAAGCAGGGAACTGAAGACTGTTGCTGTAGAGGCCTGGCAGAGCACCACCAGGGATGAAACCCAGCGTCTGATGATGTCCATGCGCTCCAGATCTCAGCCTGTAATTGACTGCAAAGGATTTGCAGCCAAGTATTAAAAAGTGAAAGTTTAATTTATGATAATTATTCTGTCCAATTATGTTGGACCCTTAACAAGTGGGAGGCACATATGCAGATTGTTGTGATTCCAACAGCGTTCACCTGATTCGGATGTAAATAGCCTCAAATTAAAGCTGACAGTCAAAGCACATCCATTGTGTTTGTGTATAGAGCCAAAAATGTTAGAATTGTGCTGATGTCCAAATGAAGTGTTCAAATGCAAAAGCCGCTAAACGCCACTTCCGCCAGAAATAAGATGATGACATTGAGTGAATGCTTTAAGAACGTAGTACATGTTCAACAATTAGATTTGCTTCAAATAATCTAAACCCCAGCGTCAGCCTATTCAGAAATAACAGTTTGTTGGCAACCTGCCTTTGACAGCAAGAGCCGCTATATCCTGAGAACCAATCAAAAGCGCGAATCGAATCATATGTTTTCAATGTAGCAGCACGCTGATACACCGGCTTTTCTGATATAAAACGTCATATTGTCAGAACATATTTACATTCAAAGCTTCGATTGAGATATTAAAATTAAGCTTTGAATGTCTGGCATCATATTTAATGTCACCATTACTCTAAAAATATCATCTTTTTTGGTAGTACAGTCTATAAATATGTAGTTAAGATACTAGAACATGCAAAGGTCTTGGCCTCGCTTTCATTTTCACTTTCAAACAGGAGCTATTTCACGGCACAGAATATGCTGTTTTGAAAGATATCTAAAGTAAATTTACATTTTTGCTATCAGAAAGTTTTGTTTATGTTAGCAGGAAGTTGCTGGGCAAAAAAATGCACACATATTTAAAGTCACAGCAAAGAGTATCAGACATGCATGCAGTCATTTTGGCCAATATGTTAATTAAAGGTAGAAATGCTCAGTTCTTTATTGTTTTGTAATAAAATAAAAATGTTAGAAAAAAATACGCTGATATTTAGAAAACGTCAAGGTGTTATAGATATGTTAGTTATATTTCAGAGTTTAAAAAGATTACAAAAATAAAAAAATAAAAACCTTGCAGATGAGCGATTAATCCACTGATGCATCAGCTGATTTGACTATGTTTTAAATGCTTCCTTGTAAGCTTGAAACGCTGTCAGTGATGTAATCAGCACACAAGCAGCCAATAGTGTTCAGCTTTTTCTGACGACTCCTCCCTCAAATTTTCATTGGCTGTGGTTTGGTAGCTTGAATGAGCTGTTGGGGAACGAGTTGTTGTCAGATCATGTAGTGTGTGACCCCCCTCTTGTGGATCATTCACGTAGTGTCGCGTAGTGTGAACACCACAGCGATTAAAAGACACAAAATCAAGTCATGTACTGTGAAATGCAAAAGCCGCTAAACGCCACTTCCGCCAAAAATGAGATGATGACATTGAGTGAATGCTTTAAGAACGTAGTACATGTTCAACAATTAGATTTGCTTCAAATAATCTAAACCCCAGCGTCAGCGCATTCAGAAATAACAGTTTGTTGGCAACCTGCCTTTGACAGCAAGAGCCGCTATATCCTGAGAACCAATCAGAAGCGCGAATCGAATAATATGTTTTCAATGTAGCAGCCCGCTGATACACCGGCTTTTATGAGGAGACTGTTTTACTCCGCTTCCAATTTACATTTAAAAGACGGAGTTTGATGAACTGGATGAGCCTGTCGGACTGTCAGTAGATGGCAAATGAAAACGTCTCTTACCTCAAAACTCTGTGCATTATAAGAAAAAGAAAACACGCTGTGCAGCTGGAGGTGTAACAT